CAAGGGGCAATTTAAGAAATTGCCCTGAATAATCTGATATCACGTTTTCTGTAAGGACTCAGATCCGTCAATTTTCTGTTGTTTCTCATTGTTAGCACTTAGAGTCATATTTAAGTGTTCATTCTTGTTTTATCAAGGGGCAATTTAAGAAATTGCCCTGAATAATCTGATACCAGGTTTTCTGTAAGGACTCAGATTTGTCAATTTCCTGTTGTTTCTCATTGTTAGCACTTAGAGTCATATTTAAGTGTTCACTGCAGAGATACAGTTTTCTCCCTCCTTTGTTCTGACTCTTCATTCAGCAACCAGCAGTCTGACTTCTGTGTCATTCTGGCCGCGTGGAAAGAATTCATCATTACACAGACATTTGAGTACTCCTTACAGTAAGTACTCATACTTAGTCATGCATGCGCTCCAGTATCCTGTATTTGGAAGGAGAAATGTGCCAATCATGCTCTATGTGAGATTTCCCACTCCATGTCATAGCGGTATTTTTTTTACGGTATTTCTTGTAATTCATGACTAAATTAGAATTCTGATTCTACTCCAGGATTCTATGCATTTTAGTTCATATGAACCAATTTCTCATAACTGAATCACCTTCCTTCCTAAGGGCTGAAAAAGAAAGAAAAGTTCTCTAGGCTTTGGGGTGTGTGTGTGTGTGTGTGTGTGTGTGTGTGTGTTCTGTAAGACAACGGTCTACCTCTTCCAACTGCCCTTCATACTAACACAGGCCTCTGTAAAGTCTCTGGTAAAGGCTCAATATGGAAATAAATCACTGAAAAACCTCCATGAACCTGTGAACAATGAAAACAGATTCTGTTCCCCACCCACATCTTCATCAAGGAGTTTAGTCGCCTGCACAAGAGCTTTTAGACGTGTTTCCCTAACTTCTCGTGGCTGTGAACTGCTTTTGACTGGTAGACGTAGGACAACCAAGCTGAATGAATTAAGCAACTGAAAACAAGCCTCAATCAGTTGTTACACCATCATAGGGGATATAGAATTCACACACAATTAACTTATTATTATTAAGTCAATTAATGGCCACTCCTATTATTGTAGCTGTTTGAAAATCATTCTTATCCAAGAATTAATTTCTTCCAAATTTTTTTTAAAAAAATTTAATTTTATGTATATGAGTGTTTGCACACATGTATGTTATACAGTGCACTAAATGTTTGCTGTGCCTATGGAGGCCAAAAGAGGGCACTAGAGTCCCTGGAACTGAAGTTACAGGCAGTTGTGAGCCACCATGTGGGTGTTGAGAAACAAACCAGGGATCTCTCTGAGACCAGCAAGTGCTTACTCACTGAGCTATCTGTCAAATACCCAAAAGTAATTTCTTATATACTCACCAGGCAAAGCTGCCCTACAAGCCAGTGTGTTACAATCTCCCTCTAAAGAGGGCCTAATGCTACCTTTTCCCTTTGTCTGTGAAGCAAATTGTATAACCTGCTGCTCCTTGACATCACATGTAACATACACGGCTGTTTTCCTTTTGAAAGTAAAACACAGGACCAGGGTGTAGGTCGGTTTAGAGTGCTTGCCCAGCATGCACAGAGTATTCAGTCCCCAATACCACATTAGCTAGGTGTGGCCAGGCATGCCTGTGATCTCAACACTCAGGAGGTGGAGACAGGAGGATCCAGAATAAGACCAAGAGTTCAAGTCTATCCTCAGGTACCTAGTGAGTCTGGTCACCCTGGGATATGATACCCTGTCTCAAAACAATTAAAACTCTGCTACATGTGGTATCGGAATTCTAGTCAGAAAACAACCAAGTGTACTCTACTCTGGCCTGTTAGTGCAATTAATTTTATTTGCTCTCACTTTTTACTTTATTCACACTTTACTATCTTATTGCATGCATGTCCTACTTTCACGAGTTCTTTGTGAGAACAGTTTTCATAAAATAAAACAGAAAGAAAATGCTTTTCTTTACTATCTACTCTTTACTGCCCTCTGCAGGCAGAAGGAAAGAATACATGAATATCATCACTAACATTCTCAGCCCCAGAGATTCTCACCCAATGGGAAAATTAAAAGTAATTGGTGATTTTTTTTTTTTTTTTGGAGACACCAACCATTAACAACCAATCACTATCTCATCACAGAAAGGGATTCCTATTGTTCCTTGTTGTGCAAAGACTCCTGGGAACCATACATTCTATTGGCAGTAGTTCTCCATGTCTCCTGCACTCACACATGAATGCACACCAAAGTCTTCACTTATCCCGGATCACGGCTTGGGTAGCTATAGCAATGTCCCTTTTGATTTTAAGAAATGGAATCTGAATGACAGAAAACAGACTGGATAGTTACAGTGACATACAGCTGCAGGCACAAGCACTTCAACTTGCGAAAGCTGCGCAGACAAGTGGCAAATAATGTGGGAGCCCCTGTAACACAGCCATCAGAGATAATGTGAGGTTTTTTTTTTTATTTTCTTTTTACTGAAAGTGTAAGGGAGACTGCAAGATAACTAGCCAACAAGCAGCTTCAGTTTGTGTACAAAAGACTACTGATTATGCATGGATTATTTTCCCCAGTCACACTACTTTGTATGGACGGCGACACTATCAGTGATGTCATCTAAAACAACAGACATGAATATATTGTGCCAACTGAGCCCAAATCAATGACCTGAGTAATGCAATCAGGGTAGCACTATTATTTCCTTGCTAAACCCTCCACGTCTGTGAAAAACAAATGCTAATCCCATGCACATTCAAGGAATAGATTTCGTGGGAAAGAAAACCAAGCCCTGTTTACTTTTATTTACATTCTAATAAGCGCTTAAAGAAAAGAGATCACAGAATTCGATGCCATTGTTCACAGATAGAATTGTGCATAAGAATATGTGGTAGGGATTGTATATGTATCAAGTTCAGCAACTGGGGAACAATCACCTCTGAGAGAAGAATATTCTTACCAAGGATATGCTCTAAAGAATTATTCCCCTCCATTCAGAGGGAGATTCCTTGTGCCTGGTACTAAGGGTTTTGTGAATCTGTGGTTCTTGTGGGTAGCTCTAGCAGCCCAAGTGGCATAACTTCCTTTAAGATATATTTATGTACATTCACTTTTATGTACTGCGTATAATTTTAGGCAAATATAAAATAATAAGATCAGGGTGGTTCAAGGAACTCCAAACAACATAAACTGTTGTTGCCATGGATACCTCTCAAAGGCTGAAGGAAGGTCCCCAATGCTGATGACACCATACACTTAGGATATAAGACTCAGACTAATCAAGGTATATCTAATTTGAAAGCCTCCTTTCTGTGTCTAACTTCTGTGCTACCATAAAATGCTATGCAAGCTGCCAAAAGGAGAAGCAATTAATAGTACAGTCCAGCAGTGAGATCTGTTAACACAACAATGACCCTGAATAGCAAGATGTCCATCGAGGTGTCAATAAGTGGCACTCCCAAGTCTGTGGTAACCAACAATTGTCTAATTGGACTTAAGACCCACTCAACAAGAGGGAAATCATTCCTGGTACTTAGAACCTCGACAACTTTCCAGGGGATAGTGAGGTCTTAAAAGAGAATCTACTTCAAACCACTTTGATATAGCAACAGGATTCCTATTCACATTCCAAATCGTATCCTTATACCCACAGGTATGTATAACTATTAGCACTCTTAGGTCCTCTCTTTACAGCAAGAGGGAATCACCACGGAAAACCACAACTGGACACAATGCAGAGATCAAAGGATTGTGGGAAGCCCAGCCCCAGTGATTACATCTACATCACATCTATATGCTAGATACCCCTGTATCTATGGCTCAAGGACCTTCTCAGAAGAGGGAGTAGAAAGACTGTAAGAGTCAGAGTACCAGGATGTCTGTTGTGAAACAGTCTCTCGTAGAAATGGCTACATAAATGAAGGCTGAACAAAGGCAATTGGACATCTTACCAGAGTCCACCCCTGGACAAAGAGCAACAGGGAGATAATGACTACAGGGACAGAATTAACATCTCCTAGGAATGAGCCCCCTAATTGGTCACCCAATACAAAGGGATCAGCTCTGAAAACACATACACACAACAAAAACAAACTCAGCAGGCTATATTTATATATTTGTGATACACAGAAACATAACTGTAATAACTGAAGAAAAAGAGGTTATTAGTGTAAGTGAGGGAGGGAGGGGACTTGAGAGGGATGAGGGGGAGGGAAGTGATGTAATTATATTTTAATTGAAATGTATAAAATAAATTAGTCTCCAAAGTATAGCCACGTTGCTTTATTAACACCCTTTTGCAACTATGGAATCAGAGTCATTTGTAGCATTTCTGATACAAGAGACAACACTGCTTTTGCGACCCTCTAATACAGTTCCTCTTGTTGTGGAGACCCCAACCATACAACTATTTTCGTTGCTACTTCATAAATGTAATTTTGCTACTGTTATGAGTCATAATGTAAATACCTTGTTTTCCGATAGTCTTAGGAGACCCCTGTGAAAAGGTCATTCCACCCACGGTTTTAGTTCCATCTCTGTCTGCTTCGAGGTCAACTGATTTCATTCTAGTTATTTGTCTTAATAATGAGCATAGAATGAACTTAACTCTGACTTAATTTTGCCACCCACGGTTTTAGTTCCATCTCTGTCTGCTTCGAGGTCAACTGATTTCATCCTACTTATTTGTCTTAATAATGAGCATAGAATGAACTTAACTCTGACTGAATTTTGCCAACATCTAGAAACCTAAGATTTCTGGAGGGAAAAGTGTTTCTTCAAAACATTTGAAGCAGAGCCGGGGCGGGGGCACATCTGTAACCCTCGCAATTGGGAGGAGGAGAAGGCGGGAGTTCAAGGTCAGCCTCAGCTTCATGGCTACCGATACCAACCTCGGCTCCATGAGGCCCTACCTCCAAAATCAAAACCAAAACAAAGGTATTTGGGATGAGATTAAGTTAAAAAAAAAATTCTCTCTACACACAAACCCTCCTCGATCAACGGGGAATTCGGCTTCTGGGCTTGCGCAGAGCGGACCCGAGCCATGGCGGACGGCGGCAACGCAGTGCAGGCCCGCGCGCTCCTGCAGCAGTGTCTGCACGCTCACCTGCAAGTGCGCCCAGCCGACGGGGACGCCGCGGCTCAGTGGGTGGAGGTAATGCCCGGCCCTTCTCCCACGGCCGTGCTGGTCGTTCTCTCATCTCTCGTGGGAGGAAGAGCGTGATCCTTTCCCTCTGCTCACCCTAGTGGTTGGCCTGGTTGTCTCTTTGGACTTGCTTCTGGCGGCCTTTCCTCATTGGCTCTCTCTGTAACCCCCAATCTGAGGGTGGTCCTTCTGCCTTACGTCTTAAGTAAGCCACCCGCCCAACTGTGCTCAGAATTTTTAGGAAATTTCATTCACCTCCACTATGTTAGGTTTTCACATCCAGTATTTCTTAACATAGACCTGTCGTCATAGTAAAAGATCACCCATGAACCATGTATGTGGGTGATCTTAAGCCAAGTATTAAAAACTCTAATGTCACCGGGTGTGGTGGCAGCGTTGCCTTTAATCCCAACACTCCAGAGGCGGAGGCACTTAGTTCAAGGCCGGCCATCCAGGTCTATGTACTGAGTTTCAGGCCAGCCAGGACTATGTGGAGAAAACCCTCCTTTAAGTAAATAAGTAATCAATCTTCCAGGATCCTCACCATCTCTCTTTTCCTTGAGATTTTGAAAATTCATATCTAAATTATCTATTTTAATTGTTGCCTTCTGGTATGATAAATTCCAAACTCAGTCACCCTTTATCATTTCTCCGTTTTCCCCACCACATTTCCTGATGCAGAATCACACATTTTATTGCAGCCTTCCAAACTGTCCCTTTGTGTTTATAAAATTTAGACGCTGTTTCAAAGGCTTTCCCTTCCCTCCCACACATTTAAAGAGCTGACGAGTAATTAGTCATCTTTCACTCTGTTGTATTATCAAAGGTTTTTTTTTTTTATTTGAAGGTCACCTTGCTTCTTAGTTTTATTCATGTAGACTTTGTTGTCCCAAAGGAATGTATTTCTTCCTGAGAATTGAACGTTTTAAAGTCACAGTGACTTTTTTTAGGTCACAAGTTAAGATACGTGTTGAAATTAAAAGGAAGTAAACATATGGGAGTGGTAATGCCGAGTGGGAAGTGTGGGGATGTTTCTGGTAATAACTAGGTACTTAATTCTGGCATCCAGGTGCCAACTGTGACTGTGTGGGAAACTTGGGCTCAAACTCAAAATTCTGTTGGTGGAGGAGAGACTTCTGATAGTATAGGTATCTGTGACTCACTTGCCAGCCCCGTAACCATAGATGTGATTGGAGGTACTTGCCTATTGCTCCAAAAATACAATTGCCCCTTAAACATTTTTAAAAATGACTGCTGAGCTATAGAAATAGCTCCTCAGTTAAGAGAAAGTGCTGCTCTTGAAGAGGACTGGAGTTCAGTTCTCTGCACACATGTTGGCTGACAACCACCTGTAACTCCAGCTCCATGGGACCTGATGGCTTCCTCTAGGCTTGACGGGCACCTGGTCATATACACACACACACCCACACACACACACACACACACACACACACACACACACAATTAAAGTAAAATATTTTTCCAGGTAATCCAAGTAAGAGTGCAGAGCTATGTTTACCAGGAAACCATGTATATGAACAGAGCCAGAAAGATACAGTTGAATGTTAATGCCACTGTCAAGTTGAGTCCCAATCATACATAAAGCATGCAAAATGCTTTGGAAGTTAAAATGTGAAATAAATTGTGCCTATGCCTTTACATTTATTTTTATATGGCATTTAATAAACACCTGTGTCATACTGTGATCTCAGAACTGTTTTAAATAGCTTGCAGTTATTAACTCCTTTAATCTTTGTGGTTACTCCTGAATCAAGCGAAACCCAGAGTCAAGCATATTAACATAGAATCACAGATCACTTCAACAGTAGCATCAAAATCATTTATCACTTGTTTATTTTCCTGTAGTCTGTATCTTGTAGGAACTAGTAAAAAAAAAAATCCAAGTCATTACATAAGATGAGTCAGTGTATATTCCTGATAACAACCAACCTTTTCATATACAATTATTGGCATAAATATAATTTCCAAAGTCTAATCGTCGGGTTTACTTAAGGTGTTGGCCACAATAACAGAAAAAGCAATCCAACAGTTTCCTGCAGTTTTAGAAAAAGGAACTTCTACTGTCTTTAAATAAATGATTTCGGGGAAAATAAAGAAGAGCTTCAAAAGATGTCAGTGACAGTGGTACTTGTTCAACAGTCCTGTGTGGTACAGTGGAATTCATTTGGTGTTGGAGAAGTCAGCCTGCAAGCTAAGTCCTAAGTCTGTCAGCCTTGCCTGCTCTGGAGGAGACTGAATGAAACTTCTGTTGACTTCGTAGAAACAAAAGGTGTGATTAATGATCCTCACAGCTTTTGACTATATTGTAATCTTAATTTTTGAAATAAATAGTCATGGTGATTAAGACTTGAGAAAGAGTTTGGTTTTCATAATTTACTTAGAATTCAAAATTATTATTTCTCTTCCTTGGCTTTTAACCCCCATGCTTGGAAACATGTTCCCCCACTGAGCTGTTTCTCTGTAGATTTCTTCCTAATCTAGATTCCTGTGTTGATTTCTCACAGATCCAGAGAGGATTAGTGATCTACGTGTGCTTCTTCAAGGGAGCAGACAAAGAACTTCTTCCCAAGATGGGTATGTGTTTTCTCTCTTCTCACAGTGAGAGGGGTATGGGGATGTTGTATTGAAACTCACTGTGCTGTAGGACGAATAAAGGTACAAAGACGAGACTATTAGAGAGCAAATGAACAGAAAGTACAAAAACTACTGTGTTGGTGTTGGTAGGATTTTGTTTTGTTTTTGTGGGGCTGAGGGTTGAACTTAGGACTTGTATATGTGCTGTGAGATGTCTGTATAGTGTGAATATGTTTTACTCTCATTGGTTAATAAAGAAGCTGCTTTGGCCTATAGCAAGGCAGAATAAAGCAAGGCAGGAAAGCAATTAAAAATACAGAGAGGAAGAAGGGTGGAGTCAGAGAAAGGGATGCAAGCTAGCCGCCAGAACACCAATATGTGCTAGAGAACAGGTAAAGCCATGAAGCCGCGTGACAAAATGTAGATTAATAAAAATGGGTTAATTTAAGTTGTAAGAGCTAGTTAGTAATAAACCTGAGCTACCCGAGCATTCTGTATTTAATATAAGCTTTTGTGTGATTATTTGAAACTGGGTGGTCAGGACAAAAGAAAAGTTCTGCCTCGGATCACATACATGTTAAGTGAGTGCTCTGCCACTGACCTATAACCTCAGCTGAGAAGCATGATTTATTTTATTTTTACTTTTTTGTTTTGTTTGTTCTAGTGCTAGGAATCGAAGCACAGGCCTAAAGCATGTTAAGAAGTGCTCCTCCACTGCACTGTATCCTAAGCCCTTTTTAGCAATTAACATCTGAGCAAAAAACATTTTGAATGAAAAAAAAAAATGCCATAATGAGACCTAATTCTTTGTAAACTAGTATTTTTTTTTTCTTAAAAATCTTAAATCACGATCTTGACAATTTACCCAGCTTCAATTCCTTTTACATCCCAGGAGGGCATTGAGTGTAGTCTTTCTGCTACAGTCTCCAGAGTAGCTAGGATTGTAGGCCCAGCTCCAGGAGCATGCAGTGGTTGGTTGGTTGGTTTCTTCTTTCTCTTCTTTTTAAATTGTGTATTGGTGTTTTGCCTGCATGTATGTCTGCCACATACATGCTTGATGCCCTCAGAGGCCAAAGAGGGTATCAGATCCCCCTGGAACCCACATTACAGGGGTTTGCAAGCTGCTGGGACTGGAACACAGGTTCCCTGGAAGAGCAGCAGGGGCTCTTAACTGCTGAGCCTTCTCTGCAGCCCAAGAAGCATGATCCTAAATTGTGCTGGTATATTAATTAAATTGCTTATTGTAAAATTTAAAGAGTGTACATATGGTGGAATTCTTTTAAAATATCACAGTATTGCAGGTGGTTTGTAGACTGACTTAGAAGACACATGAGCCCGTATGCATAATACACTTCTGCCCAGAGTATAGACGGTTGTAAGAGTAGAATGGCCATGGAGTTCCAAGCAGATGCTGCTTTACTTTCTTTACCACGCCTCTCAACTCTGTGTGTGTGTGTGTGTGTGTGTGTGTGTGTGTGTGTATTCATTTTACAAAATGACAGGGTTTTTTTTTTTTTTTTTGGTTTTTCGAGACAGGGTTTCTCTGTGGCTTTGGAGGCTGTCCTGTCTAGCTCTTGTAGACCAGGCTGGTCTCAAACTCACAGAGATCCACCTGCCTCTGCCTCCTGAGTGCTGGGATTAAGGCGTGCGCCACCACTGCCTGGCAAAATGACAGGTTTTATAGAAGTATATCATGTACTTTGGCCTTATTTACTTCCCATTACCCTCTTGTCCGCCTCATCCTGCATGGTCCCATCCGTCTCACCATCAGATAAGAGCATCCCTAATAGGGGCAGTCAATGACAATGTGTGTATGTACAGCATGGGTGTCCAATCAAATCTAGACAACTCAGCCTTATATCATTGATACAGGAGAATTTATAGCAACCATTTATGTAATGTTTTGTATAAATATATAAATATAGTTCTCCTGGTTCTTGAACCAAACTTAGTGTTATCACAGCCATGCTTCCTCTGAGGATATAGAAAACACCTAATTTAGCTGTTACAGCTTTCCAGTGTTCTATGCAGTCCACAGCCCTGCACATTCCTTGTGATAGATAATTCCATTGGTTCCGATGTACTGAATCAAATTACATACTGTTATAAGTCTATATTTGGTTCAAAACTTATGCTCAAAACTTATGCTGAAATAATGGAACTATTCCTAAGGTTGTGGGTAGTTTATATGTCACTCATTGGTAAAAATATGGCATATATTAGAGTAATAAGTAATTTAAGCTGAGCATAATAGCATGTACCTATAGTTCTAGCTACTCAGGGGACTGGGCAGGAGGATCCCTTGATCCTGGGGTTGGAGGCCAGCCTGAACAAGAGAGCTGGCCATGTCACCAAAGAAAAAACAATATAAGCAGATAGTTAAAGCTTCCAAAGTTAACCTAAACAAGATTAGAGTAATGAAAATGAAACTCATGGGCACATAACCCATTGATGACACCTTATCCAAAAAGTCAAAAATAAGGAAATTTTGCACTGATGTATCAAATTTGCCAAGGCATGAAAACTACTTGAGAAAGGACTGTGACAGGTGAGAATGGAAGATAGTGACTATAATAGTCTGAAATTTGAATCTGTAGGATAAGGATCCTTTGAGGGCTTGAGAAAATGAGATGGAGCTCCTTCTGTTCTAGGGGTATTTGTCAGGTCCTGATGTTGAGGTGTCAAACATTCTGCTCGTTTTCTTAAATTAGTATTTTACCTTGGTCATCTCTGTTGTCCATAGATTCTTCAATGTTTGTCATTTGTAGCTGAGCGGTGGTGGAGCATGCCATTAGTCCTAGCACTTGGGAAGCAGAGGCAGGCAAATCTCTGGGTTGAGGCTAGCTAGCCTAGTCTACAGAGGGAGGTCCCAGACAAACAAGAACACAAAACCCCACTCAAAAAAAAAAAAAAAAAAAAAACAAAGAGTGACTTGCAAAGCTGTCTTATGATGACTTAATTATAATGAGATAAAATAAACCCAAGCAGCATTTTGTTTTATAGTGACTAAACCTGTATGTTCCTGTCTTTGTCTTTATGAGTTCACTCTAAATACATGTGTAAGACTATTGAAAATGCAGAGAACACCTACCTTAAGTCTTTTTATGAACAGTTTAACAAACAAATGTTTATTGAGAGATTAGTTTGTGCTTCCCTCTATTCCATAAGTGAGCCAGTGTGCTGAAGTTCTCTTAAAGCCCACCTCACACTTACTCATGGATCAGACCTTTCCCATCAAGTCTTATATAACCAGTTACACTCATGAAGTCTGAAATACCATAGCTATCATAGAAATGTATAGACTCTTCCTCAATTCATCTTCAGTGTAATTGTACCAAGACCAGGGGTCTGTTAAAGCTTGATTTCTGTCCCTGTCACTGGGGATATTCAGTAACCCGTCTTACATTCTTTTTTTTTTTTTTTTTTTTTTTTTTTTTGTTTTTTGTTT